TTTTCGGAGGATACCTACGCTGCAGCATTACTCACATAGCCAAGAGCTGGAAATGACCCATAAATACACTCACTAACAAACAAAATATACATATGCTTAATGGAATACTAATCAGTCTTTAAAGGGAAGAAAATTCTGACATATGAGACTGCATGGATGAAAACTTGATCATGTGATGCTAAGTGAAATAAATTATAACATGATAAATGTTTTATTTCATTTACATGCAGTATCTTAGACAGTCAAGTCTATAGAAACACAAAATAGAATGGTGGCTGCCCAGTAGAGGGAGAAGAGGACAAACATTGGCATTTAATGGGGTGTAGGATTTCCATACCACAAGATGAATAAGTTTCCACAATCCCTCTCTCAGTAATATGAGTAGGAATACCACTATACTGTTCAAATAAAAATGGTGAAGATGGTCAATTCCATGCTATTGTTATAAAACATAATTTTATTAAGTGGCAAAGTATATATTTGTGTGTATAAAGACAAATATATGTCTATATGTATTTGTATATATTTATCTCAAATTGGTTAATGATTTAAAGGTTTCAAAACGTCATAACATGAATGACAAAAAGAGACACCTGTGGTGCCAGCAGTAGACTTTAATGTCCCGGGAGCTGTCCTTTTTACCTAAACCGGATGCCCTGTTGTGCCCATGCTACAGGGTTCGTGCTTAGGTGTCTGAGTCATCTGTGCAGCTGCAGCATGGAGTCTCTCGGAACCACGTCTCGGAACCACTTCCATGCCGCAATGCTACTCTGCCTCATCCGAGGGGGCTCTCCTTTGCCATCCTGAAGGTGGAAATGCCCCAGAACAATGAACTTCATTTCAGTAGCAACTCTGTTGCAGCTCTCGTGGTCAACTAGCTTGTTTCTAAATGGAAGCTACAATTTTCCTGGTTTCCTTGAAGACAGCAGAGTCTGCCTTTCTGACCCCAGACCTTAGCAAAGCAAGTGGATAGCTGTTGGAAGAAAAGCTTTGGAGTTTGATTTTAGGATGGCTGTGATCCTAGCATTTTTTTGCTCATAGATTCTGGTGAAGAATTTCGATATATACCTCTACTTATTAACCAAAATTATTATAACAATCTTCTATGGTAAGAGCAATAAAAATTCCTCTTCTGCACCAAGTAGAAATACATTCGCAGTTTCTAAACATTTGCCTTAGCACTAAGAAAGGGGATGGTGGAGACATATCTATCTGTCTCATTCTCTAGTCGACTTTCACTGTAACTACACCAGTTTCGTTTCATTCACAGCCGTCAAAGCTGGATTTCTTATTCGTGGTGTTTCTTTCTCCCCCAAGTAGGCGCTTAGTTGACTGATTATAGAATTATAAGGTTGGCTATAATTCCATTTCTCCTTCTGACTTTGAACTTAAGTGTTCCAATTACTTTGCCGATGCTAATAAGTCGGTATCGTGCAAATGCTTGCCTTGATATTGCTGAAATACACAGAGCTGTGATTAGCATGGGATTGCATCATTAGAAAGCAAAGTTGAAAGCGGATGAGCAAAACCATCGCTTGCAGTGAAGGAAAACTGCCCGTTCTGAGGACTTACAATGTCACTGTGATCCTAGAGACACTTGGTGCTATGTCTAAATATATATTGTATTTTGAAAAAAATTCCCTGATGTTATGGAACTATTACTGGAAGAGAAAATATCTTATAGAAAGACAAGCCCACTCTAATATACAGCTTTGATAGTTCTTCGAGCCTGATAGAGCTAAAGACACAAAAGAATCCTTATACTGCAAAAGGAAGAGGGGAAATGGGAAGAGAGGATAGGAAGAACAGGAAAAGGGAGACAAGGGTATGAAGGAAAAACTTTAGTCAATTCTGTTAGAATAAAACTGACGTCTAGTTATATATGAGTATATAGTAAGCCTGTAAGAAAAAGAAAAGCAATTGCAATCTCTCTCTCTCTCTCTCTCTCTCTCTCTCTCTCTCTCTCTCTCACACACACACACACACACACACACACACACACAAATGAGATACTAAAAGCATCAGCACTGATGGTGTTATTTGAATTAACTCCTTTATCTCACTGTAGTACTGTGAATCATGTAAACTTTTGGGAACTAGGTAAGGGAGACAGGGAAATACTTTCAATTAGGAATGAGATGTAACCAAATCAAATGATAAATGGGAGGGGGAAAGAAGGCACAACTAAAATTGATGCCAAAGAGTTATAAGGTTAAGTAAACAAAACCAGAGTGGCTAACCATGGAAATGGATGAGTATTGAAATGGGCAAGATTTGACTAGATTAATGATATGCCTCACTTTGACAGTGTTGGTAACAAGTTTAACACTCCATCTACACTAACCTCTACACTTCTAACGTGTTTATTCCTAGGAAATAGGGGCTGGATTTAATGATTTCTTTCGCAATAGTCTACAAGCAATATGCGTCTTCTAAAAAAAACATTACGGACTCAATTCTCATCTACTTGAAAAAACAAAACAAAAAAGGCTTTATGCATTTGCTTTCTGGATGTGAGGAGCTGCAGTTAGCATAAGTCATTCTGTTGGGCTTCTCAGTGGTCTTTGTTCTAATAAACCCCCACAAAACTGAATTCTGGTGTGGCTTATCTCCCACACCAAGTATTTGAAGTGTGACCACCATTCATTAGAAACATAACTTGAGAGACCCAACATTAGGTCCCCACCCCCACCACATACAGAAGAAACCAATAACCCTTAATCTATTTGTTTCCATGGCTACCATAGGATGTTTTATTTCAGTAAAACTCTTAGGTATTTCGTTTGTATTGTTGCTTGCAAATGAAAGTTGGAGACCTATTCATTTTCACAACTATAACAGAAATGGGAAGGTTGGACCAAAGACAATGTTTTTCTTAATCATGGACTAACAAGATCCTTGTGCAGAAAAGTTATTAAAATTGGCTAAATGCATCAGCCCATAAACCAAGTTAAACATTATTAAATTCCTATAGGGTTTAAGGGCACACATGCTACTGATTTCCTGATTTGTAGCAAGGAGATGAATCTAATTCACTACAGAACAACATATGGGACCACAGACACTGTTACCCACTGCTCCATACATGTAGGAACATGCAGACTGAGTATCAAATGCATGCATGACAACCAACTCTTAAATTACTATTCGCTTACCAGATACGTTTTCTCTAAGTGTCAGGACGAACAATCTGTATAGTTGTCCAACCCCCCCCTCGTGAAAAATAATTAAAAAGTTAGCTCTCCATCTCCCTCCCCCCTTAATTTAAATTTAAAAAGTCGGGAATGAGGTGGGCTAATTAAACGTGCTGTCATTCAGCCCGAACAGAACGGAAAGAATTTCTCAAATCTGCCCTCCCCACGCTGAGTTAGCAGTAAGACCACACCGCAGGGGAGAAACTCTGTAGTGACTAGACAAATGGCTTTAAAGAGAATGAAATGAGGATAAATACAGCTGTAACCAGGACAGATCTGTCACTGCAAGAGGAGTCCGAATCCTAGCGTTGCTCAGCTGAGGAGGGGCTGGAGCCTGCAGCAGCGGAGGAGCCTGGTTGTCCCAGAGCTGAGGAGTGGAAGTTTCTCGGCAGCCGCAGCCCGGCGTCTTCCACGTCTAGTCCCTCCGGCGAAGAGGTCTCGCCTAATGCTACATAAATATCTGCGTTCACGATTAGCCCCGGGCGCGCGGCGTCGCAAACGCCACAGGGAGAGAGGATACGCTTCGCAGAACCGCGCGTGTGGCAGCAGCGGCTGCTCCTCACCCATCATCATCCCTGGGGACCCACAGGAGATCTGTCAACTGACCGCCGCTGCCTTTCGGTTCCAGAGGCCAGCGATGAGAGAGAGCGTGGTTCTCAGCAGGCGGACCCAGGCATCCAAGACTCACGCTTTGCAGTCGCCCGCTCCTCTGAGAGAACAGCCGCAGGCAGGCAGTGCGTCTCCGCCTTCCCCGGGCAATGCACACCGAACCTGCCCCGGGAACAGCCTCGGACCGAAACTGGGCTCTGGGCTCCGCGATCTGGGCTGGAGCGAGCACGCCTCTCTCCCCTGGGGCCTGGGGCCGACACTGCCCAGCGCGGGCACCCGCGCGCGACCGCAGATAACCCTCCTGCTTTCGGCCAGCTCCAGGCCATGGAGACCCGGACGTGAACCCGCGGCCAGCCCGCACCGCCCGTGGCAGTCCGGGCGCGCGGCCACACTCCCACCTACGTGTCTCCAGGTCCACTATCCCACACATAAACAACCCCTCCCCACTCGCCACCACCTCCCCGCCCTTCGCATCCCCGAAGCTGTCCTCCCACCTCCAACCCCCACTGGAAACCACAAGGTGTCAAGGGAATGAACGGGAGGTCACAACACGGTTTGTGTGGGTTCCATTCAGATGATTTTCAAGCTCTTCTACCTCGAAAGTTACTTGGGATCTAGTGAAGAAGCCCGGTCCCCAAATGCTGGATCTGAGAGCGCGAGGGGCAGAAACCATCATCCAGCTTTCCTCGGCACACAGGCGCGCACCTCCCCAACCCGCAGGGCACACGGCCACCCTGGGGACCGGCTCTCCGGTGCTTCCAGGGCCCCCGGCACTGCTGGGGCCCTGGGCCGCGCAGGGGGAGGTGGCCAGGAGAGGGACGCACACGGCCCGGCCCAGCCCAGCGCTACCCGGCTCCGGTGTCACATTCGCTTCTAGCACCTCCGACCACCCCGACAGTCCCCACCCCCGAGGCATTCCCTGCATAACACACCCGGGGGCAGGAAGTTTTTTTCCCCCCTTTTTTTCATCCCTAGAGCAGCGCAGGCGCAAGGGCTTCTGCAGGCTTGCGAGTCCAGACGCGGGAGGCTTCAGCTCCAGCCGCCACCGCTGCCAGAGCCTAGCCCAGCGTTCCGGGTTCCGGGCCCCGTTCCCAAGTCCTGCCTGGCCCAGTAGCTACCAGGACCCTGGGACGCCCCCAACCCCCTCCACCACACACACTCTGCATCCTAAGAGCTCCAACCTGACCCGGCTCTTACCTGCGGCCGCGCCGCTCCGGCCCCGGCCCGACGCGCAGAGAGCCCAGGGTCGCGGATGGGTGCAGGAGGGTTGATGGATAGGGGACGGCGCCGGCGGGTAGCGGTAGCTGGGGCCGCTCGCGTCCTGGCCGGGAAAAACGGATCCAGGTCCACCTCCTCGCGTTCCTGCTCTCCGCCTTCTCCCCCTTTCCCTCCTCCTCCCCCGCCGCCGCCGCCTCCCGGCAGCCCAGGGAGGATGCCCGGGAGAGGGAAGTCAGTCCTTCTGCCTGTCAGCCTGCGCGGCTATGCGCGGTGCGGCGCGGCTCTCATCGAGGCGGCGGCGGCGGCGGCGGCTCCGGCAGCATCGCCCCCGCCCTCTCCCCGCAGCCGCGGCGGCCGCGGGGCTGGGGCTGGCTCCGGGCTCGGGGCTTCGGGCTCCGGGCGGAGGCTGAGCTCAGGCTCGGCGATAGCCGGGGCTGCGGACGTGCGCTGCGGAGCCGAGGCCGGGGCTGGAGCTGCGGCTAAATCGGCGGTGACAGGGACAGCGGTGGCGACGGCGGCGGCGGCGCGGGGGTTGGCGCGGCCGCGGCGCGGGGACCATGCTCCCTTCTGGCTCGCTCCTCTCCGGGTACCGTCTGCTTTAGCTGCGAGGGAGGCGGGCTTCGGCGCGCAGCCAGGGGCGGGCGGAGCCAATCACGGGCGCCCGAGTAGGCGGGGGCGGAGGGTGGGGGAGGCGGGGCGCCCCCGGCCCGGCTCAGCGCTCGGCTCCCGGGGCCCCAGGGATCCCTAGCAGCAGCGCGCCGGGCCCCGGGCTCAGTGCCAGCGGGTGTGTCCATCGTCGGTCCGCCGCCCCCGCCCCCTGCGATGACTCCCGGCTCGCCCGGCTCTGTGGCCGCGCCCGGTAGACTCGCGGCGCGTGGCCGGGCTGCTGGGCTATGGCCTCCGCGTTCCGAGAGCCCAGGGTTGGAGGATCCGGACTGAAGGGATCTTCCCTTCTGCTCTCAACACCTGAGGAAACTGGTGGAAAGTTTGAGAAAGAGAAGTCCAATCGTCTTTCCGCTTCCGCCCTCCCTATGACAGTCGAACCACGAGAAGGAGCAGGAAATGTCCACATCTCCGAAGGACCACCGCGAGCCACGCCAAGCCAATCCTGTCTCCTTGCTTCTGCCCTGACTCCCTGAGCACATGAGAACTTTCCTGTTTTCACAGCCCTCCCTGGGTTGTTCAGACCTCACAGGCCTGTCTGCCTACTCTGACACTCCAGATGCAGCAGCCAGCCATCCCTCCCAAGGCCCGCACTGCTGAATCTTCCCCTGTCCCTCTGCGTGCTGTCTACACAGACCCTACCTGGAATACTAAGAGGAAACTTTGGCTGGAGACCTGTGGCTACCCAGTGTGGGCTTTTTCATCTCGCCAGAACACTTCGTTTTCTGTGTTTGTCTTCCTTGGCTTGCTAACCCTGAAGGTCTGTTTTTTTTTTATTCCCAGCCTCCCCCGAGCCCGCCACCCCCCAAGCAACCCCCATCACCTGTTTTGAGATTCAGAGAAAGAACCTGTGACTCAGTTTCCCTCCATCCCCCAGGCCAGTCTGAAGGTTACGGTCGGTCAGTGGGTTCATTTCCCTCCCTTCATTTGTCTCCACCTATAACCTCACCTCCAGGAAAATACCCTGAGGACTAAGATCTGGTTAGGAATCGGAAGTGGGTGACTAGCAGAGGGACATAGCTGGTTCTTAGGCTTGTGGCTCCACCGGTGACTACCAGGGAAGACCAGGGGCTGGTCAGTGGTTCTTCCTCTCAGTGGTCTCCTATGATGTCGGATCCACAGTTCTGCTGTCTTGGCTGTAAACTCAGTGCAGGGGCTGTCTATCCTTTAATATCTTGTAGGAAGCACAGCATAGTGTCATCTCTGATAAATAATAAATAATAATAAACTACTGAGGGCAGCAGGAGAACTGTCAGCAAAGAAGGAAGACACCGGGGAGATGGCCCATTGGTGGTAGAGTAACTGCATCTCCTGGAATAAATATCAGAAGAAGTTTCGGTGTAAGACTTGAAAGGCTTGGGTTAGGAGTGTAGAATGCTTGCATCCCAGAGGAATCTACCCCCATGACAGGACATCCAGGACACTAGTGTGACAGTAAAGCAGTGATAGAAGGAGACAGGGTGGGGAAAACAGCTCCTAGAGGTCCTCAAACTACACCTGAAGGTGAATGGCAGGTGTGGTTTGAATGCTGAGTTCTTGAGATGGTAAATGAGGTACTAGAAGAGCATAGGTAGCAGAGAAGAGAGCCGGATGCCTTGGGATCTACAATAGTAGCGTAGACAATATCCCAGGCAACCCAATGCAAAGGGAAGGAGAACAAAGCCACCGGCCTCCAGTTCCGTGGGCCGCCATCCTCCGAGATGATCTGTGTGTGCATGCCAACAGTGAGCACTACAGGACTCCACCGGCTGCATGCCCGGCACTTTCCTGTACAGTAGCTGTATGCATTGCAGAATGCGGCCAAGGTTTGTAGGGTCTGGGATAGGTTAAAATCTGGCAATTTGGACTTGTGTAGTTTCTGACCAATTGTTTTGAAGGATCCTCAAGTGCATGAAGACACAGTGCACTCCGGGAATTCTTCCTGGGCTCTCTAGGTGAGCCTGGAAAAATGCTCCCAGCCGCTTTGATGAGTATTATCATACAAGAGAGGCTGACTGGAGCAATGCCGAGGGTGCAGGGTCTAGGGTGCTGCAAAATCTCCAGGTTTGATGCTTGGTAACTGCATAACAAAGGGGTTGAAATGTCCGGGAAAGAGATGAGCTACACAGATTAGAATCACAGAGCTTGTGTCCACCCTTTCCTCACCATACTCTCCACCTGAGCTGGTATGCAAATAGGATTTCAAGAAACCATGTTTTCTTTTATGGAATTATGTCCAGCTGTGAACTATTTTCTGTGACGCTCACTGCCTTTTACAAAGTTCTGCCCTTGTGCTGGTTAGGGTCTTGTTGTTCTTGATTTGATACAATCTAGACATTCGGTAAGAGGGAACCTTGATTGAGAAAATACTTCCACCTACATGGCCAGTAGGAAAGTCTGTGGCTTGTCACATGTGGCAAGTGTCCCTAGAGAGTCCAGGAGAGACTATTGGTTAATGTGCAGCCTCGGTTACAGTGGAGACCCATGCAGACAGTGACATGTGTGGAGTAGACTGGCTTGAGTCTAGGAGAGAAGCTGTGGGTGGCAGAGCTGGAGAGGCATGTCTACTCCAGTTGTTTGGAGCCCAGAAGGTTGTGAGTTCAAGATGTTATGTTTTGGACACTGTGTTATTGACAGTGTTGGAGTTTGGTTTTGCTTTGCTTTGACAATGTTTGTGCCCTGTCCTTCCTTCTTGGAGTAAAAAAGTATTTAAAGCTGTTTGTTTGTTTTATAGGCATCCACAATTGAGAGGCTGTGGACTTTAAAAGAGAACTTGAAGTTTTAAAATATTAAAAAATAAAAAAATGTTATACTGGGTTTTATATCATGATAATAACAGGAGATCTTGGCATGAAGAAGGAAAGGTTATTGATTTAATAGTGATGTGAGTGTTACAGATTGGCAGGAGATCCATTGTGCTGTCTTTTGGTTTTGTTCTTTCCAGCTTGACACAAGCCAGAGTCATCTGGGAAGACTTGGACCCTTAACTAAGAAAATGCCTCCATGAGATGGACTTGTAGGCAAGTCCGTGGTGTACTTTCATGGTTGACAATTAACGTGGGAGGGCTCGGCACACTGTGGGTGATGCTAGTGCTCCTGGATTCTGTACGAAAGCAGTCTGAGGAAGCCATGGAGAACAAGCCAGTGAGCAGCACTCCTACATGGGCTTTTCAGTTTCTCCCTTTAGGCTCCTGCGTTGAGTTCTTGCCCTGATTTCATGGTCTAAGTGACTTTGAAACCTGGTGAGAATTGTTCCCTTTCCTCTCAGTTACTTGTGGCCGTGGTGTTTATCACATCAATAGACAGCAGACTGGAACACCCTGAGCTACTGGATGAACTCCATTTCATCTGGATCATTGTAGCTCATTCCTTCATTCCTGCTGCACCTATGGCCTTGGGTCCATATTGTGTGAGCAATCTCTTACCTGCTTTCATAGATCTCACTTATGTCTAGATGTCTTCTGGTTGTTCACTCTGGTTGTTTTATGTTCCCCAGGGCCAAGCTCCACATTTGGCATGGACTTCTCTGCATGCTACTTGGGAACTGTTGGTCTGCATGTGCACGGGGACCTCTCTGGCCATAGCTGAAGATTTCTCCATTGGCTCTGTGAGGTGTATTCCCATAGCCAGCCCACCCTATGCTGAGTCACAAGTTGGGTTCTAGGGTCAGGATTAATATGCATTCATCAAGTGGGTGGCTTACGAAAGAATGGACTCATAATAGATGGGAACTACATTGGAACACTCAGAGCCAATGGCATTCTTTGTGCAGCCAAGCAGACAAGGGCTTTGTGCTGGAAAATCCCTGCTCTTATCTATAGGATGCCACCATCAGGGTGACCAGGGAGTCACATACACTTTCTGTGCCAGGATGGACTTCTCCTTTATTTGTGTCTATAGCAACAACCTCGGCGGTGTAATCACTTACTTGGTGGCTACTGCATGCTGAGCACCGTACCAGTGTCTGCTATTAATGATACCTTGTCAGTCATCACAGCCGCCTGTGGAATTGATATTATCAACTGCCTAAGTCCAGGGAGGGTAAGAGGAGCTCCTGCAGTCACACAGCAAGCTGGTAACAGAACTGGAATTTCAGTGTGCTTACTTTCAAAGCCATTGTGGTTTTTTTTCCCCACTCCACTGAAAACACCAATGCAATTTCTTTTGCTGTTAGCCCAGCATCTTCCCTTGCAGTGGACACTGGATGCTGAGTTTTGCCTTTATTCATAGTCAGTTCTGAACCCAGAACCAGAAACAGTTCTAGAATACAGAGCACTCATGTAGACAAGGGGCAAGTGTCTCTATGATTAGTGAATGCTTGGGTTCCTTCGAAGAGTGGAAGCCTCGTCAGAACCCTCAGGTTTGACAGGACATCTGTCTTCAGCGGTACAGTGGATATAAACAGAGCAGCTGCCAGGCTCTGCTGGCTGGAACTTATGCTTCTATCACAAACCTGTTTTTCTAATGTAGTGCTCTGCTAAAACGACCCCTACTCAGCACCAAAGGTATTAATAAGTCCAACCTAACCAACTGTTCTTCCAGTGGCTAAATCACTCTATAAAAATTGGTTTAGCACCTACTGTGTGTCCTGCAATCCAACCCCACACCATTGATTAAGACAGGAAATGCCAATTGCTGAAGTGTTCCTGGGACTACCTTACTCTGTGATGGGGTGGCCCCAGGAAGCTGCTGGGGCCTGTTTAACTGTTTGCTTGCTTGTCATCATTTCACCCTGCTTATTCTCCCAAAGGCATTAAGACAACTAAGTAACATTTTTGACTTCTTCTTGACAAGGGTTGAATTAGCAAGTGTTAGCAAGAAATATAACTTAGTGTTCAGATGTGGGGGAGGGTCTCCAGATGTGAAGGGGTCACAGATATCCCTAAGATCAAGGCTGGTCAGCATGGCTTCTTGGAAGGGGCAGGTTTAGCAGATCTGAGGTAGTGGGAGCATTGGGTTGAGGGACTGATTCCGAAGACAGTTTTTGAAGTGTAACTCGTTGCTCAAAGCCATTGGGAGGGGGCGAAAATGAAAGTATAATTCCTCTGTTGCCTAAATGAGTGAAATATTAGATTCTAAGGCGCAGAATGGAGCTGATGCTGTCTTTTGGGGGGGGGTTTTAATGGCAAGGATTCAGCTCCTTTTTTAGTACCACTTGTTTGCAGGTGGCAGGAGTGCTAATTAAACAGAGCCACTAACAATTTTCCTGGGTGGCTCTGACTCCCAAACTGGCAGGAGAGATAGTCTGTGGTTCTGAGACCAGCTTCCCTCCCCATCGATGCCGTGATGCATCTACGGGGGAAGGGGGCGGACATAGTTATTGGTTAATGAATTATTTATAACGATCAAACTTCAACTTTACTTTTCAATGTTTAAGAAGAGGCCAGTGTTTATGAGAGAAAGTGTAAAAATAAAACCCAAATGATAGGTAGGATCTGGGAAGGGAAATTTAATTGCATTTTAGAGGATTCTTTTACTCACTGGAGCCTGTTCAGTAAGGATAAAATTCAGGAGTCTTTTGAGAGAGGATTGAGCCCCCAATGGCTCCTGACATTTCTGAACTGTTTTTAAGAATAAAGAGGCAATGAGCTTGTCTGACCCCTGCTATGTTCCGGAGTCCATTGATGCCACTGTTTGTCAACTCTCTCTGGGTTTTTGGCAGGGCTGAAGGCTGGGATCATGTCAGGACTGGTCATTCTGAAACTCAGAATTAGACCAGAGGCAGAATAGTGGACTGTTAGCTAGACCAGGGACCCAGATTGTTCTTGTTTTATGTATCCATTTATTTATTACTTTTTGACAATTTAATACATATCTATAACATAATTTGGTCATTTTTACCTTTCATTCCCATCTCTCACTCCCTTCCCTTCTCACTCCTTCTTTCCAAGTCTCCCTCCTTTTTTCATGTCTTTTGTTTTGATTTTTGCAACCCACTGGATTTAATTAGGGTTGTTTGCAAGAGTATGTCTGGGTGGGAGGTCATTTACTGGAGCATGACTAACTAAACAGTAGCTATAGCACTAAGAAAATGACTCATGCCCCCATACACACACAGTAACCATCATTGCCAATTCTGAGAGGTGCAGGGCCTCTTGGGCATCCCCCCATCTCTCTGGAGTGTCGACAGGCCCCAACTTGTGTGGGTCTGGTGCAGGTAACCACAGCTATTGGGAGTTACCGGTTGCAATGGTTGTGTCATGTCAGAAGACAGTTCACACCAGTCTTTCCCATCTTCCGGCTCTTGTAGTCTCTTTGCTTCCTTTATTTAGTAAGCAAAGCAGTGAGTGGTTCTCAACCTTCCTGGTGCTGCCACCCTTTAATACAGTTCCTCATGTGGTGGTGACCCACCAACCATAAGATCATTTTCATTGCTACTTCATAACTGCAATTTTTGCTACTGTTATGAATCGTGATGTTAATATCTACTATGCAACTCCATGAAAGGGTCGTGACCCACAGATTGCGAACTGCTGCTCTAGTGCCATGTTCCCTGGTCTTCGCTGGGATCCATGCTGTCTAGCTGTATGCCAAAATCTCTATGTGCTTTGGAGGAATAGCAGGCAGAGAGGCAGGGAGATATCTATCTATCTATCTATCTATCTATCTATCTATCTATCTATCTATTTTGGTTTTTCAGGGTTTCTCTGTATTGTTTTGGAGGCTGCACACTAAGATTCCCTCTGTTAGCCTCGAACTCACAGAGATCTGCCTGCCTCTGCCTCTGGGATTAAAGGCATGCGCCACCAACACCCGACAGGCAGGGGGAATCTTAGTGTGAAGCGTTAGGCAGCAAATCTCATTTCTGTCATCCATTTAACAAACAGAGCCCGTACCAAGACTTTGTCTAAAGACTTTCTGTTTGTCTACACTTCCAAAGCAGAGGTACCCTGTGGCATATATACAAGTAACAGGCTGTCCTTCCTCCAAGGAATGCATCCTTTATATTCCCCACAAATGGGAAGCCTAAGAATGAGATGCCTAACAGTCAACGGAGTTTTGAGATACATCTTTGTTTGCAGTGTCAAGCACCTAATGGTTTCCGGCGCTTGGGGATCCGTTGGAATGTGTAAATTTTCACTTTGTCTTCATATTGATCTCCGTCGGCATTCCTGAAGCTGCACCATGCACTTTCTGTACAACAGAACCCAGGAGGAGGAATTCCTGAGTCCATGGCCAGTGGAAAGATGAGCATCAGCAATGTTGCGCAGAGGCTCCACTCTTGAAGCAAGGGTGTCAAAGGTAAGAGATGACTTATGTAGCTCCAATAAAGGCCATTGAGTGTCCACTGCATCTTACCAAGCATGTTAAAATAGCCCCAAGTTTGTGATCCAAGCCACCATCTGGTCTAAAAGAACCTTTCTGTAAGAAAACATGAGATGCGAATTCTCAATGATGAAGCAGAAGACTCCGCCAGCTTGCATCCCCAGAGGATGCATGAGCTTTCCTTACTAAGGGAGCTCTTCTCTTGGATGCTTAAGCGGTGGCTGTTTTACTGAAAATTCTGCTCACGTACGACTGCTCAGAAACACATTATTTTTATTTATTTAAGACTTATCATTTACCAACTTGGGAGAGGTCCGAAGCAACTCACAGGTTAAAGCACACAGTGAAAGAAGGTCTTCCAGAGTGAAGCAGAGGAGATAGTACCTGAAAGGGAGAGATGGGGAGGAAGCCTCAGGCCAAAGTATAAAAAAGCACCGCAATTAGGCTGTGGGGGAATGCAGGGCAGCGGTACCACATCTTCTGATTATACAAAGGAAGGTGTATTTTTTTTATCATGTCATAAAATGCTCGGAGTGGAAACTGCTTAAACATGATACTATTGTCACTGGAAGAATGGGGTGTTCTTGAGATAAAAAGGTTTCAGCCCTAGCATTCTGGAAAAAAAAAAGTCATGCTGCCACAGTCCTACATCTGTGCTCTTCATGACATTCGAAGCTTTGAACAATATTTACCAGAGGGTTTTCATTAAAAGACCCAGATCCTTTATAGGTTGTTTTGTTGCAGAGTCAAGGGAATGGGCAAATGAGATGCATTTCCTGTGGATGGCAGTGCACCTTCCTGGACAGCAGCAAGTATCTTTTTACTGAACTCTAAGCCCTCAAGCGTGTCAGTAGAGTTTCAGACAATTTCAAGATAAGTTCTGGGTGGTATAAAAGTTTGGTAGAAACAATTAGAATTTAAATATGAAAAGAGATTGGAATTAGAACAACTTGGACATAAGCCTCAAAAATTGAATATCGTTTGGGATTGGGGAATCTTTGTAGGCCGACCTACAGGATCAATTCAATTCAACAGAACTTAAGATTTCAAAATGAGCCAGGCGGTGGTGGCACTCGCTTTTAATCCCAGCACTCGGGAGGCAGAGGCAGGTGGATCTCTGTGAGTTCGAGGCCGGGCTGGACCGACAGCCTCCAAAACAATACAAGGAAACCCTGTCTCGTAAAAACAAAAACAAACAAACAAACAAAAAAAGATTTCAAATGGTGGCAGATAGAATCTCATAATTATGACTGAGTGTTTTTATTGGGAATAAAGAATAACATGTGGTGGTACATGTGTATGTATTGTTCAAAGGCAGCAGAACTGTGAGTTCAGAGGAAAGACTATCAAATAAAGATGTACCAATGATGAAAATGCCAATAACAGCAGACACTCACTTAGCACTTACTATATGTCAGACACTGTTCAAAACTCTTTTTCCGTTTTTCCTTTTTAAATGTTAAATTGTTTTTCTTAATCCTTTCGTCAAAAGATGTAGAAATCAATGAACCTTGAGTGTAAAATTTTCAGTGCTGACACACCGAGAGAAGGGAGCTAGCTTGCTATTATCAGGTACTCTGAGGGCGGAGGGTGTGTTGGCTCCTTGTAGACACAAGTCTCAAACCCCCAAATGGAAGTTGGACTGTACCTTGCCCCAGGTTAACTCTGAATGTTCTTACCTGATGGTTGCATGTCTGGTGCTGATGGAGTCTGCCCTAAAGTTCGGGAATTATTATGAAATGTTTGTAAGAGATTCAGTTGTATTAGGCATCACCCAAAATTCTTAAAATACCAAACATTTACTGTCTTCCACAATGCCAGGAGTCCTGAACATAGCTGGTGGTTTGGGCCTTAGGGATACTTGTAAAGTTTCAGTAAGGTATCAGCTAGAGTTACAGAATCAGCATGCCTGAAATCCAGGAAGTACACTGTACCATGCACACGGTTCTACTCACGGGCCTCTAAGAATGTTGAGGTATCCAGCCCCCAGGATGATATGCAGAGGTTCCCAACTCTTTTCTTCATTTATTTATTTTATTATGAATATGTGTGCATGCATTATGTGTATGTGTGAGTGTCCACATGCCACGGCATGTTTCTGGAAGTTAGAACAGAGTCAGTTCTCTTCTCCTACCATGTGGGTTCCAAGGATTAAAATTAGGTCATAAGCGTAAGACACTGAGTCATCCCATTGGCCCAGGAATTCTGAACTCTTAAGGTTGGACAAAGGATTAATTTCCAAGTTCATACATGAGACTGTTAGCTGTAGGCTTTATTAGGTCCTTGTTGATGAGTAGGCCTTCACATAGCTACTTCAAGATTTGGAATTGTGCATATGTCTCTCTGTGTGTGAGAGGAGAGAGAGAGAGAGAGAGAGAGAGAGAGAGAGAGAGAGAGAGAGAGAGAGAGAGAGAGAGAGAGAGATTTTTGAAAATCTTCAAAAGAATGAGGGAATGTTAGACTTGAAAATGAAGATGGCTCAAGAAGGCAGGGGTTACCTTAGTAGACTTCTTAGTATGTAATTACCGAGTTGGCATGCCTGCTGTTGCAGTCATAATGGCTCCTGGGGAAGGTCACCTTTGGGTAAAGTGGAAAGGGGGGGAAGGAGGGGCATAAATACAACAGAGTCACATAAACCTTTGCTAATTAGGTTAATCAAGGCAGCAAAATTGTAAGTACAATGAAAAGCTCTTCTTATTTGGCACGAGCAGCAAATTAAAAAAAAAAAAAGGAACAGATAAGTGATTGCAGAAAGTTGTCTAATGGGAAGGATTTCTGCAGTCCAAACTCTTCCTGAGCGCCACCATGTACCAGGCAAGGGGCCAGGTTCCGAGGATACAGAGATAATCAAGAAAGGGACACTGCCCTTGAGGATCTCCCTGTCTAATGGGATACAAACCTAAATGAATGCCATGCAGCATGAGAGGCAGTCCAGGAAGAACGGGGAGAAAGGGGAAGGACGGCTTCGTCAGCGCCCCCTAGAGGCGGGTGAGCCATGAAAGACCGACTTCGCCCAGCAGTCTTGGAGAGTAGGAATTTACCAAGCTGACAGGAGGGAAGGCAGAGAAAACAAGAGCCACCCAACATGCCCGTGGGGCAGCACACGTGAGCAAGGGTAAGCTGCCGGTGCTGTATATGGTTACATCAAGTCAGTCACGGTAATCTGAGAGGAACATGGAGGCCACTTTGCAAAGAGCCCTGGGGACCTGAACAGAATTCAGAACGGGCAAAGCAGAGTTGTGCAAAGCATGGCCTACAGAAGAATCAAGTGGGAATCCTGAAAATACATACTCCTATGTCTAACCACTCATCCACTTTGACCTATTCTTCACCATAAGTCTCTTCCTGTACTACACTACACTCCCCAGCCTCCTTTGCAGCCAGACTACATTTCCCATCGTCCTTTGCATCTCTGTTAGGCTAGTTCCTATAGTCTCCTTTACAGTTAGGTGTACTCCTGTGACTGAGGTCCAGCCAACGGCAGACAAGTAGGAGAAACCTGTGCCATTCCCTGATCTGACCTGTTAAAATTTGACCTTTACCTTCTCCATTCTCTTTCTCCTCTTTTCTGTGTTATTGTAGACAAACATAGGTGCCTTAGAAGTTCGGGGCTGAAGACTGACAGATCATCAAACTTGAAGAAACCTTTGGAGAAGGCTGCCCACAGATCTAGGACATTCATTTGGGTACTCTATGAGCATGAAAATTAAATGTTACTGAGCTACCATGCATACTGGGATGAGTTGCAGTGTTTACTCTTGCCTTAATACGGCAATTGACTTGGCCTCCGAGAATAGATTTGGAGAAAAAAAATATATGTATACACATACACACATATGTATGTATGTATGTATGTATGTATGTATGTATGTATGTATATATGTATGTACCCCAGGAGAGTTTGAGACCCAAGCCCTTGCAGATTTATAGTAGACCAATTAACAGAATGCTATTGGCCTCCTTATCTTTGCTAAAGAGAACAATCTGACTGAAAAAGAAAAGAGAACTTTGGCGAGAGGCAAAATTGAAGTTTGAGATGAGTAAAGATATTCTAAAAGCACCAGGCTGCTGTAATTGAGCTGAAACCTCTTGGGCAGGACAAATTACACTCTGGGGAGTAGAGAGAACTCACTCCTGAAGACACAGTATAGATCTTCCACTGGTGATGTCTAAGCGAAGTAGAGACCAAAAGAAATGGCAGTGTTAGAGGTGGCAAAACAGCTCTGCTTTTTAAAGATGGGGAGAGAGCACGGAAGCTTTTCTCCCATCCGTCCTCATTAGATTCCCTGATCAGGTTATTGACGATGATTCATGAGCATATGAAAAAAAATGGAGCAGAACTCCCTAGACGCCAAAAGCAAAACCCCAACAAAGTAGCGGTATTCCCAGTTTTGTGGTAGGCTCATGTACTGGTTAGTCTTTTTACTAACATGGCATATCTGGGAAGAGGTGACCTCAACTGAGAAACGTGCCTCATCGTGGGCAAGTTTTGATTAATGGTTGATGTGGGAAATCCTGGGAAACTGTAGGTGGTGACACCTCTGGGAAAGTGGTCCTAGGCTGTATAAAAAAAAGAAAAATCAGCCTGAGAAAGCCGTGGGGAGCAAGCCAGCAAGCAGTACTCCTCCTTCAGTTCCTATCTCCAGGTTTCTGTCCTGCTTGAGTTCTTGCCTTGGCTTCCCTCAATGGTGTACTGTGATTGGGAAGGGTGTGTAAGCTAAATAAACCCTTTCCTCCACAAGCTGCTTTTGATCATAGTGTTTTTAGCACAGCATTAGAAAACAAAGTTTTCGAGATTGTTATGTCAGGGAGCTGTTTTAGCTGAGTAGACACAAAGTGTACTGAGGCTGGATATTTATTAGGGTATCTCGTGCTGAATCTGTGCCCAAGATGAAGTACAGTGGGCCTTCCACACTTGTGAGCAGAACAAATCGAGGATCATAACTATTGGGAGGAAATTGCATCTATGTTGGACGTGAGTATAAAAATGGTTTTGGTCATATTTCCCTAAACACTGTCACACAGTGGCATCTCATTTACATTGCATTAGGTATTATGGGTGATGCAGAGATGATATACCACTCATAGGGGCATGTTCATAGAAGTATGCAGCCATGCCACTTTACATAAGGGGTTTGAGAATCCTTGGGTTTTGTATTTTCCAAGGTCCTAGAATACTTCCCAGGACAGCAGCAAACAACAACTATAATTTTAACTGCATACCAGAATACCCAGTAGGCAGATTTAGTTGTTTTATGGCCATACTCAAATATGCTGACCAATGCCACTGTAAAAAATACATTTGATATTCTTACTAGCACTATAGACAGTGATAACTTATTTCATATTTAACAGAATTTGAGATGAAATGCAGAAAATACTTTTATTGACACAACAAGGCCCAAAGAACATATAGAGTACTAAGCTAAATCTAATGGTACGAGATGCAGCACAGAAATGATAGCATTAGACATCTAAGCTTTAAAGAATCACCTATGAAGTCAGGGTGAGAACAATCAGCTGCAATACAAGAGATTACAGCACACAACAGCATGGTGTCAGTCGGCCATGTTTTTTAGCTGCTCGAATCATAAAGCCGTTGTAGGTTTGATTGAGGGATGCCTGATGGAGGAGCTCTCTAGGTTCACTGGGAGTCATGCCTTATGTGGAATTTAGTTATGATTTCCCATTTGCAGATGTTTAAGATGTCCAGAGAATGCCTACCAGAGTTTTACCTGGTAGAGGTGTGTTTTTGGGTGTCAGAACATTTTCATTTGAAAAGCATCTAAAGAACTGAGACAAGAAGGTCTGATGCCCAGGAATGCAGTGGTTATGTGAAGTCTCTGGGGTCACCCGAGACCTGTGCATACTTACCTGAAGGGGCGTCAGAAGCAATGGGGCTTAGGAAAATGGCCTGGTGGGCAATTGTGGTGCTTCTGAGAATGGAGGGCTACCCATACAGTGGAGTGTAGATAGTTCCTTTGTGTGATGACTTAGAAGAAAAGAATGGCTAGCATCCTTCTAGACATCAGCAGCTGTTATTACCGGCCACCATTTCTAAGAACGGAAAGTATGCCTGCCATTAGCTGAAACAGACTCAAACGCTTGGTCTGCTTGTATTGTGTGGTATAGCAAATGACCACAGGACCCTTGGCTTGAAACACTGAACATGTATTATCTTGGATGGGAACTCTTAAGAAATCTACTGGACAGCTCCTTCAGCATACTCCGGTGGGGGGATGGAAGGGGGTGGTCCTTTCTCTTGCTTTTCAAGCTTCAAGGGTCTCTCCGCATTCAGTGTTTCCTGGCCCTTCCTCTGTCTTCCAGGCTCACAGCAACACACATCGTGGTTTTGCCATCTCTGGTGATGGCCTCTTGGTATTGTATAGGTCCATCTGGATAGTCACAATTTACCATTAAATTTCAAGGCCTTGAACCGTATCTGTATAGTTCCTTTCTCATGTAAAGTAAGATGGTCACAGCTTTGGGGGTATTAGGAATTAACATGACGATTTAGAGAGGCATTAGACTGTCTACCCCAGCCCTTTTGTATATTGATTTTTTTTTAACTTAAGTTCTCACTGCCTTTGAGGGTTGGGTGTCATTTCCACTCAAACAGAGAGAAACAGCCCGGGGAAGGTAAACGGATGCACAGCAGTGACATGCTTAGGTGTGGCTGGGTCTTGAACCTGATTCTAGCCCAGTGTCAATCACTGTGAGTTGTACCTCTGTGTTGGCTTGTGCTCAGTCAGAAACTTCAAGCATTGGCAATCACTTTTCTTTAATAGTGTTAATTTACTCGTGACACTATTGTGGTTTATTTTTCTAGGCTGTAATGTTAAGTCAGGCATGTCTGGCTAATATTAAATTTAATCAGTATTCACTTGCTATGTCCTTAGCATCTTTAGCTACCAGCTTCTTCCTTTCCTGGATTTTTGTCACCTTGAGCCTTCTCAGACATAGGGGTTTGGAACGGTGTTATTTTCTGAGTTAGGATCTGATGATCTTTGCAGACTAAATGTTACACAGCTGCAAACATTTGTTTTCAACCCAAAGTAACAGAGTTATTAGGGAGCGCATGTAAGGATTCTAGAAGTGCTTGTTAAAAGCCCTGCAGTTCTTCAGGGCAGCAGGCAGCTGCAATGTTGTCACCACATATGGGGTGGGAGATGTCCAAGCACTGTATTCAGGAGAAGTCCCTGCTTTTCCCACACAGGCACTCAGGTCCTGCAGAGTGGGCAGTGAGCAAGTGTCCTGCTCAGGCTCCCTGTACTGGGACATTTACTCACCACATCAGAACATCAGTGGCCAGGTTTACCCCCGTGCAAACAAAGGAAAGATAAACCAAGTGATGGCCCCATTCTACAGATGAGACCCTGAGGCTCAAACACTGGTTGTTTGCATAACCAATTCAGGTTAGAGAATGAGACAAGTTTAGGGACCTATGTTCTAGTCTGTCCCTGGGACAGAGTGTGTGTCATATATTTTCTCTGGTCTTCTTTCTAGCATGTTCTTTTTTTTTTTTTAATCACTGGTGCCTTCATCATCTACACACAGCCTAGATCTGCCTATGTTGTGCTATACTGGAACAAAGCAGAATTGCATGTGGACTGTGGCTAGTTGGATGCAGAGGCCTTGGGCACATACATGGGGTGGGGGTAGGAGGCAGGGACATCAGGAAGATTCTGCCAGCATCAAGCAAATGAGTGAAAGACTTCACAGAACTCAGGAAGGGATGGCTTGGAGTTGGGAGCTGTGTCCAGACTGTGGTAGGAAGGGTGGTTGAGAGGATTCCCACCCACTGGGTTCAGATCTTGTCTAACTGTGGGCTGGCTGCCTGAGCCAGTGACTTCTAGATGATTTTCAGACAGCAGTGCCATGCAGAATTTGTCAAGTTCACACCATTGATGGAAGGCTTCAGGGTCTAGGAAGGAAGGGAAAAAACATTTTAAAATACTTTAACAATTAATGCTAGATACTGGGATAGAAGGACAGAACCTGCCCTTCCTGGGGATCTATTTTGTGACACACACTGGATACAAGGAAGAATGCAACACACCTCTGTTGGGGTAGTCTTTTGTCAATAAAGCACTGTTGAGCCAATAGGAATCTAGATAGGTAGGACTAGGAGTCCAGGAGGATTCTGGGAAGGAGAAACACAAGAAAGTCGACATGTGACGCCATGGGGTAGGAAGCCCGGAACTATTCTCCGGTAAGAGACATACTTAGATTAACAATTATGGGGTAATTACTTAAGTCAGAGCTAGCCAGTAAGAAACAAGCAAGGCCAACAGCTTCATAATTAATATAGCCTCCTGTGTGTTTATTTGGGACTGATGCTGCTCTAGAACCAGGCTGGCGGGAAGGCTTCTCTCAAAGAAAAAGCTTCCTTTAACACACCTCCCTCAGAGAGACCAAACATCACAAGTCAAAGATTACAACCTCAGACAATGTAGGAACCAGACAGGGTGATTTTCAGTGAAGATAAAGAAAGTAGCAGGAGCTCTGGCATCTCCTGGCCTGGGAACTGCAGTCAGGTTGACTAGCCCCCAGAGGACCAAGCAACCAGGAGCCTGCTGAGAGTGCTGGCCTATTTCTACCCCCTCTCAGGGCAGAGGAGAGGGAGTGCCTCAGACCGGACTGCATCCACCATGAGATCCATCAGAGTATTGGACCTGCTTGTACCCTCCGGGAGAGAACCTTGGACCCGTACCCATTAGGAAAGGAAGAGACCCCACCTGTACCCACTGGAAGAAGGGATGGGAAGACAACAATATAAGAACACATTCAACAATAAAAAACCACTATGACACCACCATAGTCTAGGGACTGTACCCCAGCAAGACCTGAACATCCCAACACAGGTGAAGCGGAAGAGAAGGACCTTAAAAACAACTTCATGAAGATGATAGAGACCCTAAAAGAGGAAATGAGAAAATCCTTTTAAAAATTGAAGAAAAGACAAACCAAAAATTGCAAGAAACAATTCAAACAGT